TATTTAACAAGAATGTAACCAAAACATCTATGACAAACTACATAGATATTTAACAAGAATGTAACCAAAACATCTATGACAAACTACATATAGTTATTTAACTAGAATGTAACCAAAACATCTATGACAAACTGTATACAAATATTGAACTAAAATGTAATTAATATCCATAAAAATTGTATACAAATAGATATCTGACTAGAACATCTATGACAAATTGTATACAGACATTTGACTACAATGTAACCAAAATATATATATATATATAACAAACTATATACAGATATTTCTCTAGAATGAAACCAAAACATCTATGATGAACTGTATACGGATATTATATATACTGACTTGAGTGTAGCCAAAACTGTATAGAGATATTTGTCTAAAATGTAAACAAAATATGTACTAGAATGTAACCAACACTTCTATGATAAACTGTACAGATATTTGACTAGAATGTAACCAATATCTCTGACAAACTGAATACAGGTATTAAACTAGAACGTAACCAACACTTCTGTGATAAACTGTACAGATATTTCACTAAAATATAACCAAAATATATATCACAAACTATATACAGATATTTGACTAGAACATCAATAACAAACTGCACAAGTAAAGAAAAAACCATTAAAAAAAGGAAGTAAATGTAGGGATGGTTAATATCAATCCTTCAAAAATAATGTCAACAAGATAGTAGGGATGGCATTTGCATCATACCTACATAGTAGCACAGGCAAGAATTAACATATAACAATATATATAACTATTCAATCACAACTGAGTTTCATTTATCCATCCCATTTTTGTCTGTTAACATTCTACTACACTGTGTGTCTGTGTTATTATATAATGATGATGTAAATTCTATCCTTACTATCTTGTTTACATTGTTTTTGAAGGATGGCTATTAGACATCTCTACATTTACTTTCTTTTTTAAAAGTTTTTTTTTTACTTGTTTGTGTTTTTGATGCAGTGTTTCAATAGACATAGGAAGGTTTTATTTATAACCAAGTTCTAAATACAATGAGGTTCCAACTGTAATATTTATTGTTTATCTATTATTGGCTGGTAATTTCTGTTTCACCCTGTACTTAAGCTTTTTAAAGAAACACCAAATTTCTGTAAGAAAGCTAACTTCAAGGAATAATGACAATATAATTTACACTGGAATTATGATTTTTGTAATTACTACTAGTTATTAATAATAGTTATAAAAGCGAATACTCCATTTGAAACTATGTCACCTCAGTGAAATTGGTTGATACCATTGTTTTGGTTTTTGAGTTATCATGTAATAAAAAAGAAGCAGAAGTAAGAAGAACAAGAAATTCAAACGTTTTGCTATGATATTTACAGACATTACCAGAACTTGTGACTCAGTCATTACATAGATATTGTTATGGAAGGA